CCTTAGGTGTACATGGCTGGCGCCCTAGCCGGTTGAGCCATAGGCCCCGAGCCCTGGACTACACCTTGATTGCAGTCATTCTTTCTCTACTGTCCTTAAACTCATTATATATATTTAAAAAATATTTAGGGTGGCACCTGTGGCTCAAAGGAGTAGGGTGCCAGCCCCATGTACTAGAGGTGGCGGGTTTAAACCTGGCCCTGGCCAAAAACTGCAAAAAAAAGAAAAAAAAATTTAAGTGATAGCTATTGATTTTCTTTCTTTCTTTCTTTCTTTCTTTCTTTCTTTCCTTTTGATGCATCTCACAGACACATTTATTCATGCCGTGAGTACACAGTACTTAAACAAGTACACAGGAACAGTCCATGTTCCCATGTGACACAGCTTGCTTAGCTCTACGGGCAGACTGATCCATCTCTTGTACACTCCAAGTGAGGCTGGTTAGTGATGACCATGAGCAGGTGCAGGAGCTTTCAAAGCTTTACTTGTTTTATCAGCACTCCTGATTTTATAAACAATGAAGCTCATCAACCCCATTCCCATCCAGATCTCCTGGTAAACTTCGATATAGTAAGGTTTCATGGGGACCCACACATTTTTAATAATGCTTTGAAGCATCAGCAGCTGGTTCCTGGTCTACCTCCCTTTTCAGGCCTCCCACGCAGAGCAGGCGTGTGTAGGTGGAGGGGCTGCACCCCAAGGTCAGCAGGAGCCAAGAAGGCCCAAGTCCCCCGCCGCTCTCCAGCCCTCTCCCTGCGTGCCAGCCGGAATCAGGTCCCCCGATTCACCCTTAACTATTGATTTTCAACTTTTGTGTGTTTTTTTTTTTTTTTACTTTCTTCAAGTACTTATTCCTTCTCTGTAACAGATTCTTTTTGTTTTTTCTTTTATACTTATTAAGCATTGGGAGTTGTCTTAGTGAGGCTGCTGTTGTAAGTGCCTGGCCTCCCTAGTTTGTTTGTTCACGGAGAAGCCTCGTGACTCCTTGTGAATCGTGCCCATCCTACCGATGGTGGAGAGGGGCTTGAAAGAGCCCAGCCAGAAGTGAGGGAGCTTCTCAGGGCTTTTCCTGCGCAGAAACCTGTGAGCCCATGGAGTGAATGCTAAAGGATGGCCAGGGGACATCTGGAAGAACTGTGTTCTGGAGGCGGGGTGGACTTTGAGAAACTTCATTTGGGCCTAACTGTAAACTCTCTAGACCATCTTTGTAGATTGAAACTTCATTTGGGCCTAACTGTAAACTCTCTAAACCATCTTTGTAGATTGTGAGTGGACTGTTTAGGCGCAGGCAGGGTTTTGGGACAAGTCTACTTATAGCCCCACCCACCTCAGTCAGTTACGATAGTAGTATGGCAAGTACCCAGTAGGCCACCCCCATTTCTCCCAGTTTTCATCCATAGATGTGTTATACACAGGGTGGGGCCTCCATCTAAACTTGACCTGCCCAGGCAAGTGGGAATTGCAGGAAAAGCTCGGGCTGGAGGCCACAGATTCATGCTTTTGGTCCCAAAGGCCCTGTATTAGGTTTAGCTTTAAAAGTAACTGTCTACTGTGCTCAGTGCTTTACAGTTTGCCGGTCCTCATCTCAGCCCTCATGTTTTTCCTACCTCTCTCCTGCCTCTGGCCAGGCATAGGGTTGGGGGTCACAATCCCAGTCTGTAGGAGAAGAGTTGGAGACACTGAGCTTTGGTAAGCTGTCCCCCAGCGGAAGCTGGTGGTGACCTAGGGACCTTGCGTGTGTTGTCTCACTAAGTCTCCCAGATGTTCCTACACAAAGTGGAAAAACTGAGGCCCTGGGAGATGAAGAGCTTGCTCCAGTCAGGCAGACTCCCTGCAGCCCCGCCCTGGACATTGTACAGAGGGAGAGCCCCGAAAGCTCTGGGGAGTGTGGGAGGACACCTGGCTCCCAAGGACCCCTGAGTTTGTGTTTACTTGGTAGATGTGAAGACAGTGCCAGCAGCTGGCCTGACGCAGGCTTTTAAGGGGATAAGCTGCTGCAGGCTCACCCCCAGGAGCCTAGCAAGGAAGGCTGAACATCCACTGTTGTTTCTGCTTTTCAACTTGTGTCGCTTTTAGCTGACTTTCTTCTCCCTCCACATTCTTTCAATCTGGGCCTGGGCATGCCTCTAGGATATGGCAGAAGGTTCTGGTGCCACACCACTTCTCCTGGTGGCCAAGTGTGACTGTCACCCTGGGGTCTTGCGGTGGGCGGGGCAGGTGGAGCCCTGCATCTGCCTTCTTCCTTTCTGCTCAGGACACTTTGGCTCAGTACCCACCCACACTCATCTCCCGCCAAGGTTTCCTCATAAAGAGCCGTGACTTTTGAAACTGGGTTCCTCAGGAACGGGGCTGCCCCTAGAGGAGGAAAGGGTAAGGGTAAGCAGTCAGCCTGACTGGTGTTGATTGGGGTATCTTCCAGTTGAAGCTGGCACCGGGAGCGAGGGATTAGGGCCCCTGCCAGGCAAGAAAGGGTTTCTTGTTTACATGTCCTCACCTCCCTCTTTCAGGTGTAGTGTCTTTTCCCCCTGACCGGGAGTTCATAGAAATGGTTAAGTATAAGATGATTGTGTGTGGGAATGTGGGCACTAAACCAGCATGGACAGTTCTCTGGATTTCTCTACTAATGTGTCTGCAATGAGAGTGACTTACCTGTAACCCAGTAGGGCCTCCGGGACGGGAGGAGGGAGGCTGGTGTGAACTCTAGATATTGCATGTGCCCTTGGCTTTGGCATAGGGCATGTTTTAGTGTGAAGGACCTCAAAGAGCAGCGTGAGAGGGCTAAGCTGAGCTGCATGTGGGGAAGGCTGGGAGGTACATGCCCTGCGGCTGACATCTTGACAAAACTGTGTGAACCAGTGGTTGTCTGGGCTGACCAGGACTTGCAGCGTCCCCAGCAGGAAGCCTAGCCTCTAGCCTGGTTCTTGGGCAGCGGCTGGATTCATCAAGTGATCTCTGGAGACTTGACAAGGCTCATCTTGAAGGTGTAATCCTTGCATTCTCTATTAATTCCTTTGCTCAGCAGCCATTCAGTGATTAAAATTAGAGGCTAGGCTCAGCACCTGTAGCTCAAGCAGCTAAGGCGCCAGCCACATACAACAGAGCTGGCTGGTTCGAATCCATCCCAGGCCTGCCAAACAACAATGACAACTACAACCAAAAAAAAAAAAGAAAAAAAAAAGAAATAGCTGGGCATCGTGGCAGGCGCCTGTAGTCCCAGCTACTTGGGAGGCTGAGGCAAGAGAATTGTTTGAGTCCAGCAGTTGGAGGTTGCTGTGAGCTGTGATGTCATGGCACTCTACCCAGGGTGACAGCTTGAGGCTCTATCTCAAAAAATAAAATAAAATAAAATAAAATTAGAGGCTAATAAATGGGCATCTTTGACAGGGTTAGGAGGGCAGATTCTTGCTTTTGTTGGCCCCACCTCAGCCCTTGTCCATAGGCAGAAGGAGTTTTTATTTTCCCATGATTGTAACCATTATAGAAGGTGAGACTGTATTTTGCTTTTAAAATTCTGTACAAAAGTTGCTACACCAGCCCTCCATATGCCCAGTCATAAAGCTGCCAAGTAGCCCAGTGATGTGTTAATTTGTTTTTTAATTGAGACAGAGTCTCACTTTGTCACCCTCAGTAGAGTGCTATGGCATCATACCTCACAGCAAACTCAAACTCAAGTGATTATCTTGCCCCAGCCTCCTAGCCTAGTGATAAAGCCCTATTTTTCAGGCTACCAAATTTATATGTTGAGGCCTTTGAGGAGTTTGTGGTGACTCTATGAGCCTTAGTCCCTTATCCCTGGCTCATGATTTCAGAGGACCAGTACTCCTGGAACTGAGAGGGCAGGATACCCCTCTCAGGTGTGTAGAGTCCTGGGATATGGCTCCCTGGTCAGTCTTAGGGGTGCCATTGTTCCATGGTTGCTGAGTCTTTAGAGTCCTGCTAGGAGCCGTGAGGTATGAGGTGGGAACAGGGCTTCCCCCCCCTACACAAGCTGCCCCTAGCCATGGATGGGTAGGCCTTGGGCTGAGTCTTCTGTGCTTAGTCTCTCCTAGACCCTCCTTCCCTCTTACTCTAGTCCAGCCCTGGGATTGTTTAATTGCCATAATTCTGAGGGTTTGAGCTGGTGTCCATTGGAAGGTGCCACAGCCTCTCGTGCCCACTAGCTGACCCATTTCCCAAGCAGCTAGCAGTGGCCTCCTGAGCCCCTGTGTACCCTCCGGGAATAGGAGCCCATGGCTCTCTGACAGGCCAGGCTGTGTGACTGCCTGGGTCCAGGCCACGATACATGTGTGCTTCTTCTCTCCTGGGCCACAGCCACCCCACGTCATGCTGCAGCGCTGCAGAGATCATGGCTGTCCTCTTCTTCCACACCATGCGCTATAAGTCCCAGGACCCCCGGAACCCTCACAATGACCGCTTCGTGCTCTCTAAGGTAAGCACCCAGCTGCCCACAGCCGTTCACCCTCTGCCTGGGACTGGTGTCCTGTGGGCCTTGGAATGGTGCATGGTCTTGTAGGAGTCTTATCCCCAACCTAAGCTCAGCTCTGGCCCATCCCTCCCGGGTGCCTCCTCCGCCTGCCCATCCCAGCCCCTCCCTCTGTCTTGCTCTGAGCTGATCCAGCTAGTTAAGGAATACAGGACTGAATTAATGGGTCCCTTTTCTGTGGGGTAGTGACAAGGCCTTTACCCACAAGAATGGGGTAGGGAACAGTGCCTGTCAGATGTTGACAGGCAGGACTAGGATCTAGGTCTGGCTTGTGGCATTGTGGCTTTCTGCCCATGTCCTCAGTGTTGTGCCAGCAATCCTGAGGCCATGGCCTGCTCCCATCAGGAGTCGGGCTGCACCATTTTGGGTTTGAGGTGGGGTGCCCTGTCCCAGCCCGGCCCAGTGAGAATCACAGCCAGAGCCCTAAAATCCACCTGTACCCAGGCCTGCCTGCCTCTGATGCCTCTAGTCTCTTGGGGCAGGCAGGCTTTAGAGTTCAGAAGTCTGTCCAAGTCCAGTGATTAGTGCGGCCGGCTGCCTGCTGGTGTTTTGGCCTCATCCAGCCTCACAGCTGTGTCCCCCTGCACCTGTTTTAGTGTCTGCCCAGCCTTGGCTGTGGGAACTTTGGGCTGAAAACCAAGAAGCTGGAGAGGGATGAAAGGGAGAAGTGGCCTTCATTTGCTTCTGCCTCTGAAATGGATACCCTGACTGGCTGGCTCAGCCAAGCCCCAGGGTTAGCATGCAGTGGGAATTGTCCCAGATAACACACACACACCCCCCAATCTGACTGGCCTCTGGCTGTCCATCTCCCCGCAGGGCCATGCGGCTCCCATCCTGTACGCAGTCTGGGCGGAAGCAGGCTTCCTACCCGAGGCAGAGCTGCTGAACCTAAGGAAGATCAGCTCCGACTTGGATGGGCATCCTGTCCCGGTAAGCACACCCACCAGAACCCCCAACGCCTCTGTCTCCACCTACTGTTCCCCAGGCACGTGGGAGAGAGAGCAGGGGGTGCACACTGAGAAGATGAAGGTATTGAAAGGCAGAGGGTGTTGAGATAAGGAAGGAAATAAAGTGGTGTTTGGAGGAACCTTGTATTCACCCCAAGGCCTTTTGAATCCCCAGCAAGGGTGCTCTGGTTTGGCCTTGGGGAGGGCTTCTCCCTAAGCTT